TTTTTTTTTTTTTTTTTTTTTTTTTTTTTTTTTTGAACAGGTCCAGTATCAAAATAGCGACGCTGTATGAGTTAAAGAGCAAATATCTGAATGCCAACATTGAAGTTTTTTGCTGACGAATTTTTATTAGTTCAGAACGAGATCTTTTTAGAAACCAATAAAAGATAGTAAGCTCACTGCAACTCTACGGACCAAATTCGCCTAGTTAGTTAACGGCTCTGACACAAGTGATTTATTTCAGCTACACTATCAAAGTTAAAAAAAAACATTTATTTTCCCAGGAATAAGCAGAGTCATCTAGTAGACGTAAAAACAAAGCGAGAAACATATCCGTCTTTAGTAAAAGGGAAAACTGCTATTTCACACGTTTGTTAGCATATTTTTATCATACACCTATTTTTTTTTGCTCTCATCAAAATAATAGATGTTGCATTTTTTATACTTATATTACGCGTCATTGTACATCGTCATAAAACAATAATATCAATTAATTGATGTTCTTGCGTAGAAACAAATAAAATAAAATTGCAAAAAAAACTGAGCAGCCTGGGCTGCAAATCAGAATAAGACAGAAAAAGCAGTTGGAAATTTTGACACAAATACACAAACGAAATAAGATAAAACGAAAAGTTTGATGAGCAACAAATGTGATTATTAACATTTCTAAAATTTCTAATGCTAATACCATTTTTTAATGCTATTTTCTGCTGAAAAAAAAAAAAAAAAGAAAAAAACAACAGAAGGAAAACTGCAAAACAAAGAGAAGAAGAAAAAAATAGAGACAGTTATTAAGTTAAAATAGATAGAAAGCTATTCCAAAACAGAAATGAGGTTTTGATACCAGCATTTTGGAAGCCGTTGAATTCAACAACAGACAGGCTGATCAATTGACGACTGGTACTGACGCTGTCACTAAGTTTTCTTTATAATTTACAACAGCTAAGGTATATTTGAACGAAAAATGTAGACCTTAATTCTTAATTTGTCTACTTGCAAAGGGCAGAAGATATTTCATTTTTGGTAGATCAAATAGGTGGGAAAAAAAAGAATAGGTGAACGACAAAATATTTCGGCCTTCAGTTTTAAGATTCAGCATTAGCAAAAGGGAAACTGTTTATTGGTGTTAAAAATTGAAGATGCAATTTTTGCGAATCGCACATGATCAGGAAACATTTTATAAAATTTAAACAAACAAAAGGCTTATGTTAAAACTTTCTTGTTGTAAATTTTCAATAAACTTATCTGTCCTTTTTTTTCCAATGCCCAGAAGGAAATAAGGAATTAAAGTAAACCAGGACTAAGATGTTCAGCATTTTGATTTCAGTG